TGTAAAGATAGCAATGGTTTTAATTTTTAATATACTTTTTATTAGTATAACATCTATAATTTAACTATACCATAACTTATGCCATTTAAATATATTATAATGATCAGTTATAGTTTATATTCAATTCAATTGCAATTCTAAAAGTATATAAAATATTTTTATTCTTAAATCACTTTTATATAATAAGTAATAACATTAATCTATCTACATAATAAGTAATAAACAATTATATTATGAAATTTGAAAAAAATATTTAAAATAATATTTAACATGAATATATGGAAGATTTTTTATAAATACCAATATTTCCGATTTATCAGAGGTCAGCTTGCGGCGATAGTAACTGCCAATATCACCAGCTTCACTAAAAACAGATTCTGTAGTGATTATCGCACACTTCAGAATGCGCAAAAAAATAACAATATGGCAGAATGTTTATTAATTAATTATTATTTTCAGGGTTGTGCATTTGACCGATCAAATACGTATTGTTAAATATGGTCAAATTCAAATATATGTTTTTTTAAGTCAATATTAACTTTATTTTAAATATAATATAAAATGAATCTATAATATTAATCTTTAAATTCATTGTCATTCAATAACTAACGTTTAGCTCTCTGTAGCAGAGTCTTGCTCTGACTCATATTCAATATTATCATTTTCTATAATATTTTTTAATCAATTTTTGATGTCGAGATCTTTCGATTTCTATTTTCAAAAGAATTTTAACCCAAATCGAGCTATTTCTTTAAAAGAACTAGGAATTGTTAGTCTCTTAATGGGCATGATGGCAAAGTTTAATCTATTAACTTGAGGTCGGAATTGATTATTTCTTATGGAAATTACTGTTTTCCACATAATTTGCTATTAAACATGCTGATTTTGCTTCTGAAATTAATTATATCACTTAAAATATTTTGGTCATCGCAACCTTGTAAAATGCCTAATTCTTGAATTATATCATATACTTCATTGAATTCTCTACTAGTGAGATGCTCCTCTTTATATTGGGGACCCAAAAAATAAGCAACATTGTGATAACATGTATTTATATCGTTTCCTGTTTTAAACAGATTTTTAATTTTTTTTTCTTTTGATTTTTTAGAGCATTTGACCGTATTTGACCAGGTCAAATACTCCTCCAGTCAATTGACTGAATTTAACCGGTCAATTGACCGACTTGCCAACCCTGATTATTATTAAAAATACACATAAAAATAGATTTCGATTTTATTTATAAAAATTAGTGCTGTAAACGTTACTACAAAAAAGAAACGCGTTATCGTTACATCTGAAAAAAGGAACGCATTACCATTACTGACTTTTCAAAAAAGTAAAGGGCTACTCGTTACTTAAAAAAATTAAATATATACAAAAATAATATTTACCGACAATATATAATAAAATAAAACTATACAAAAAGAATATATAAGATCGTTTTATAAAAAAAAATATTAATATATTTAATTATAATATAAATAAAATTATACAAAAATAATATATTATAAGATAATATCTTTATGTAACAATTTTTTATTTATTTTTAACAATTAATTTCAAAATTTTGATCAGACAAACAAGAGCGCTTAGTGCTCAACACAGTTAAATAATGGGATGTTATATATAGTATTTTAATAATTAATAAAATCTATAATGAAATTCTCTGTAAATTGGATAAATCCTGACTACCCCACTATTTCATATATATATTATTTAAACAAAGTTTTTTAAAATCCCTATAATTTATTCCTTAAATTTATTAACAATTATAGTCAAACCAATAGCAATACTAAAACAAGAAATAGAAGATTTAAAAAACTCAATATTTGAACCAATACCAATATTTTGTTAATCTTGGGTTTTTAATGTTGGTTCCTAGCCCAATGCTGTAGTATAATTTAGTTGCTTATATTTAGGGCTGTGCCGATCCACTTATTTTTCACCGATTCCATCCGATATTGCTTCAAAACAGATCCGATATTGATACCGATTTGATATTTATATTGATTTTTCACACCCCCCATTTGAACAAAATGTAATAAAGAAATCAATATTTTTTATGCAAAAAATCAAATTATGCATTTAATTTATTTTTTTTATTTCTACAATTAAGACTATAATTAAAAAAACATATATTTGATAATATATCCATTTTATGTTGATATGAATTATAAAATTGTATTTAATATATTAAATTATAATATTAGATTTTTTTTGATAAATACGAGAGCCTCTAGATTTTCTGGCAATAAGCTTCTACGATATGGAGTATCTATATCCCCTGCCATACTGAAGGTAAACTCAGATGATTTCGCAGATAACGCATTTTGCAAAATTATTTTTGTCTTTTGTTAAATATTTCCATAATTCAAATACCATATTTAAAAAAATTCTTTTATTTAAAGTAAAATTAATAAAATTGGCGTTATTATTTAAAAAGATTTAAAATAATTAAAACTTTAGGTGTTCCTTTCTATTTTAATATAAATTTTTTTTTAAATACTATAAATCTATTTTAAAAAAGAATAAAATTTAGAGGGTGTTGTACATTTGCATTGTTTTAAAAAAAATTATTTAGAAAATATTATAATAATGTAAAATAAATATACATAACATAAAATAACAAAAAAAAGAAAATTAAAGAAACCGGATCGGTTTTTTACAGGTATGGGCCCGATCCGATATTTTTGGAAAAGCTAAATATCGCAGCCGATTTGATCCGATATTTAATATGTGCACGCTCTATTTATATTTTAATTCCATGATTAAGCTTTTCAAAATATTATGAATTCTATTATTAAAATAAAATTCATCTTTTTACCTTGAAATGCTTTTTTTAGTTTGAACTGCTGGACATTGAGGTTGAAATATTTGTGTTGGGATATAATTTACATTTACAAAGTGTAGGCTTGGTACCTTTAATTTTCTTTTTTGGTTTAAAATATATTTCAAATTGGGACTAGAGAAGGGTTAAATCATCTTCATCTGAAGAAGTACTATGGATATAGTACTCTCAAAATAAATTATAAGAATAATAATATCTTTATTACCATTTACTTTGAATTTTGATTGAATATTAATTTCGACAGAAAATTTAACAACTAGAATTTAAAATAAAAATGAAAGAAGTTGTTGATATGAATTAAAACTCGGCTTAAATTATTTATATTAAGAATTAAAAAATAAATAAAAATAATTTTATAATACAATAAAATAAGTTTTTCTTTTTTAAAATATTTTTTAAGAAAAAACATAAAGTAACGAGTAACGTTTTGCGTTACCGTTACTAAAAAAAAGAACACGTTGCCGTTACTCGTTACCACTAGAAGAAAGAAGCAAATGACGTTCCTTACAGCACTAAAAAATAAATGATTTTAGATATAACTTTTTTTAAAAATTTTACAACATTTTATTTTTGTTAAAAGCTATTTTGTATCGGATCAAATTTTATAATATTGGCCGATAACTGATATTTTAAAATGGGTGAAATCGGCCCGATCCGATAAAAAATATCAGTACATCACTAATATATTTTATATACAATTATTTTAGCAAGTTCTTATTAGAGGAAATATTTAAGTTACAATTGATATATAACATTAGATAATTTTAAAAGGCACTTAATAAAATAATTATATTATGGATAATTTTATTAGTTACCTTTATTTCTTTATGATATAAGTAAAATTACTTTACAGTATTTATTTACAAAATTTAATCAATTTAAAATGCATTAAAGAAAATTGTTATGTATTTAATAATTTTCATATTTTTTATATATGATTAATGATTTTGTAAGAAATATATAAAAAAAATTTGAAAAGCAACAGAGATTTAAATGATATTTATATATATGATATTACAAACGCAAGAATTAATAAGTCATATTAGAAAAAAACTAATTTAAAAAATACATAAATATCACAAACAAGTAATGATAAATACTTATTAAAGATAATGAATAAAATAAAACTAGTATATATTTTATTAGAGATGCCATATAGCCATATACTCCGAATATAAGCTATATTTAAAACAACATAGAAAATAACCTGCAAATTCTAATAAATCAATTGATTTGATTTAATTTTTTTTTCTTATTTGCAAATTTTCAACTCCCATTAAATATACTACTCTCCCTTCCCTGTTTAAGCTATTATGGGGCAAAAACGAATATTAAAATCCCTGGTTGTTATAATTAATTCATTAATAAATATTTTATTAATTATTGCAAATAGTCATTCTTATGTGTATGCTATGTTCTTCACAAATAAATAATAAAAACTGTATTTTATAAACTATTCTAATTTAATTGGTAATGATAATTTAAAAGTATCTTGTATTTAAGATACTCTAATTTAGTAAAAGATACAAGTATCTTTTATCTTGTATCTTTTTGATATTTTGAAAAAGATACTAGTATCTGTATCTAAGATTCATTTTTTTATTCTTTTTCTGGAGTACCTTCCCAACTCTGCTTATAATACACTACATTAAGTAAATTTTATTCATTATTAAATTGTAAAATATTAGAAATTATCTAATCTTTCTTTTTATGAGCTTTTAAACATGTTTTAGGAAAGATTTTGTTAGAAACGGATAAATTTCGCTTGAAATATATTGTGCCATTTTTAAATTTAAGTCAGTAAAAAAACTCTCTAATATCGACGCTTAGAGATTATAATATACAAAAATATTTTGATCCTTTCGAGAGCCAATATTTTAAAAGATTGCTTGCCATTTACTAGATAAGGCTTAGGTATCAATATTGGTTTGTCTGAAACTAGGATTTTAACTTTACTTTATAAATAATGCCCTCTTTTGAATACATGTATTAGGATGGGTCTTCATTCTCTCATTCCTATTCCCCTTAATTTTATATAATTATCACAATTTTATCTTTTTTAATACCCACATTAATACGTAATCTATATTATAAACAAAAATATATCCAATTTAAAATAAATTAAATTGAAATTTAATATATAGAACTTTAGCAAAAACATCTGAATTGTATTTTATTGCACGGTTCTTCCTTTAAAATGGTAAAATTTTATTTTATATTTTATTATATATAATATAAGGTAAACGTTCCTAAAGCTCGTAGGACATACTGCAAAAAATGCAAATGCCATTCTGTTCAAAAAATAACACAATATAAAAAAGGAAAGGAATGTGTACATTCTCAAGGTAAAATAATTAAATTAACATTTTGCTTTATATTAATATTAGGGTAAAAAAATATTTTGAATTACAATTACACTTATTGTTAAAATATAAAATTTTGATATTACCTCTATATAATCAAATTATATTAATTTTTAAGGGCGTAGACGTTATGATCGTAAACAAAAAGGGTATGGTGGACAATCTAAACCTATTTTTAGAAAAAAAGTTAGTATATTTCTAAATTTTTGAATTGCATATGTTCTTAGGCTAAAACTACAAAAAAAATTGTGTTAAGGATGGAATGCACTAAATGTAAGCATAAACATCAACTTACCATTAAACGCTGCAAACATTTTGAAATAGGGGGAGATAAAAAGAAAAAGGTTATAATATTATGACTTAATATTTAATGAATTGATTTTATAGGGACAAATGATTCAATTTTAGAGTGAAAGAAGAGTATTTAAAATAATTGAAAATTAAATTTATTATATACAATTATTACCATATTTTATAATATGCTAAATAATATAATTGTAGACAATATTTGATTTAAATATATTTTTTTCACTATAGTAAATATTAACAAATTATTTTGAATTAATGAATGTTTTTTATAATGTATATAAATTATAGGGTATTAAACTTCAAAAAATTCTAAGCTTATTTATTAATTTATAAATATTTTATATGTCAGTTTCATTGGTGATATTAATATGATCCAAAGATAGACATAGTTACAGTAAAATAATATAGCCACCTACAAACTTTAAAAAAATGAAACTAGCTACAATACACAGCCCTCTAAGCCAATGTTACTAATGCCAATTCAGTTATGTTTGCTGACTCCCCCCCCCCCTATCCAGTTAATGATCCAATGAATTTATACCTATATTAGAGTGGGACTTGATAACTAATTATTGCAATCATCTATATATCTTTACCTTTGAAAATTAAGGTGGTTATGCTGGTCCACATTTTTTTACTAATCTAATTAGACCATGCATTGAACCTGCCAGTTCAGACTTTTGTGAACTGGTCCAAATTTTATTTTTGAATAGGGTGGTGAAGCTGAATTTTATTAAATACAATTCTTTTAATATAATTAACTCCCTCAAATATGTGTAATCTTTCTTTATGGAAAGTCCTTTTAAAAATCGTAGTGCACAATATAATAAATTAGTTGTTAGATATCTGAAGCTTAATATGTTATACATTTCAATGTTAAAGGAAGAAACTTATGCATTAAAAGCTGAGACCTGGCCAACAAACCTTCCCACGTATTTAAAAAATTTTTACCCATTGGTTTTGGAATTTTTTACTCACCTGTCCATTATTTAAAATTTTCAACCTGCCTGTCCACCCATGATTTTGAATTTTTTTTTACCCTACTCTCCATTTTTTATTTTTAGCTCACGCTTGCCCTTTTATAAATTTTTCAAACATTAAAAAAATGATTTGGATATAAATATTTTATAATTTGAGAAAATACAATGATCCCTTGTTTTTTCTGGCAATTTGTTATTTTTCAACAAATCTTTTGAGTCCGTTTTTATTACCAGAAATATATTTAAGCATGATTAGAATACCTATCTTACGAATTGTAAATAATTTTGCTGTTAGCCTTTAAGCTACTTATAATTTATATAAAAAATCTATGGAATGATTATAAATTATACCCCAATCCCACCCTAGCAGCTATTCTATTAAAGCATTCATAATTCAATAATATATTAATAATTTTAGCTTTTATACACTAATTTGTGCTTATGGATATTTAAAGAAGAAATTAAGGTTATAACCCAATTTTGCGAAATTTTACCAATACATCAGTAACAGAAGAGTCTAGGGAAATTTGAAGATTGCTAAAGATTTGTTTTTTTATATCTAAAAACCATATTTTTATTTGCGATAAAAAAGTATCTAAAAATGGATATTTTATAATATTCTTTAGTTGAGTCAACATTTATATTTCATCTCAATAATTGCTTAGGTGCTAGACAAGGTTTAATTAGTGTTATATCATAAGATATAGTTTTCGATTTAACGTCTAGATAAATATGAAAATATTCATCTACATAAATTCTTATTGTATTTACCTGCTCATATACATTTTCCACCAAATTAATAATCTGAACCAGATTTAAATTTGGTTTTTGTAAATTCCTACAAAGTAGTTAGCTTTAGGAAACTAATTTATTAATGCAATTATCAGCAAAGCTAAGCTCTTATTGATATCAAAATTGCCGGTGAGGGGGGTACAATTTTTATTACCATAAAATGATATCCCCCCCTCCCCTATTACGCGCGGATGGGTAGGTATTCTAAACATGATAGAATACATTTCCGGTAAGGTGAAACCCAATTTTTAAATTTAGAAAACCGCGTTCAAAAAATGATTCAAATTTGAAAAAATAACACATTGCCGGACTCGCTCACATTATATTTATATATTAAACCTTATTATGTTATTTTTTAAAGGATAATAAAAATGACAATTGTCATATATGTTATTTTTCAACTTTTGAATAATTGGCGCAAACTTACAAACATATATTGTAAAGATGTTAAATTATAAATTCAAATGAAGATGTTTTTTTTAGGAAAAATGACAGTTGTAATTGTCACAACGACAAGATTGTCATTGTGCATCAAAACCTAAATATAAAAATAGAAAACAAATATATATATATAAAAAGGAAATTAATAATAATTAGGAATCACGAAATCATAAAATCAACTTTAATTCTTTATTCAAAATTATAATAGTAAAAATCATAAAAAATAAAATAAAATATAATTAAAAGTAAATTTTAGTTAAAATAATAATCCCCTTTTTCGCATCATAATTTCTCCATTATATATCCTTTTTCTTTAATCAACATTTACATAGTCTCACTAGCGAAGAATAAAAAGTTCTACATCCCACTTGTTAAAACTGTTAAAGTATGAAAAAATCTACAAATCTTACGCGTTTTTTTCTCATTTACATAGACGGGGATATTTTAATAAAACATTATTTTTGTTTACGATTTGCATAATGCATTTTTTTGTAAAGTAAAACTGCAACAGTAATAATAGGTATTTTTAAACATATTTGAATTTTTTTTAACGCGAACGGTTACAAACATATATTGCAAAGATGTTAAATTATAAATTCATAGATATTCGTTGAGAAAATGACAGTTGTCATAATCGGTATCTTTAAACATGTAAATTTTTTTGACGCAAATTTCAAAGAAGATGCACCAGAGAATAGGAAACTTCATGATTCGCAAATACGTTCAATTTTTATCTATGACGTTTTTTTTAGAAAATGTTCTAGTAAAAAATATATTTGTTACTTTTGAACGTTAGAAGATTGGTAAAATAATTTATTGTTAACATGTTAGATGTAGAAAACTAGCAATTGCATTCATTATTTTTTAAGATAATTTGGTAAAAATATATTGAGAACTTTATTTTAAAATTTAATTGCAGATGAAAATTTGTTTTTTTGTATTTTTTTTTAACAAAAAGCATTTACATTTTTTTTTTGATTTCAGTGATAAATATAATTAATACGTAAAGGTTATTCTAAAAGCCAGTAATTTTAATAAATTATTCAATGCACGGCCTGGCGCGGCCCGGTTTTAAATTTTTTTAGGCCCGGCCCGGATTTAAAAATATAAGGCCCGGCCCGGATATTTTTTTTAAAAAAAAATTTCAGGCCTGGCTCGGAATTTTTTAAAATTATGTAGTGGAAAAATTCCGCTCACAGCTTGCACTTGAAGCAGGAATTGCCAATACCCGTTTTGCCAATTTCGCTAAAATTGGAAATTCACTTTGATGAGCCGCCCACCACTCTAACAAATTATCCACCTTAAATGTTTCATCTATTTTTTTATTTATGTAAAAGAAGTGATATTCCTTTGATTGTTTTCGTAATTTAGATATGAATTTTAAAATTCCTTTATTTTCAATTTTCAAATAATAAATAATATAAAGTATTAAAAAAAACAAAAAAAGAACGGAGATGGTGTGAAGCAGGGAAACAAAAATGAAAAAGGGACGTAAGTGTTGTCTAGGATAGCTCTTTGGCTAGAAGACTACCATTGAAACTGATATAATAGAATCGCTATGGATAATCGTTGACGAAGAAAAAAACCCTCTCGAGGTTCTTCTGAGAGTTTGCTGATTTGTGATCCTAAGTTTTTGAAAAATGCTAAGGCGAGTTTGCCGAAGGTGCCAAGAGTGGTTGATATGATTGGGATGAAGCAATGATCGTTCATTATTTCTGTGTATTTAGAAGTTTTAAGTTGTTCCTTCTGGTCAAGGATGTTGATGGCGTGGTTGAATGGGGCCAAGGGGTCAATACAGGAATAGTCCCAAACCAAAAGTTGGCTTCTCCTCCATGGGATTTGAGAGATCCCGTCAGGACGTTTACCGTCATAGACCCTGTGGTTCTAGAGTGGAAGGAATTTGGGCGGATTCAGTGCATGTTGGATGATTGTATTACATTGCTTGTGTCTGATGAATCGTCCATTGCAGGAGCGACAATGTAAACTATGTCTACCCTTCGAGTGAACTGGCGAGTTGCACCCTGAGCAGATGTGAGGGTGAGTGATGGAACAATTTAGACAAATGCCTATGGCGTGGGTAAATTCATTGTTGGATAGTTGAAGCTGAAGATTGGTAGATGGGATGGCCTCAAGAAACTCATGTCCCGTACCATTGAGCAGGGAAGAGAATAGGGTGCGGTCGGTAGATTGCATGCTAGATAAGAGAGTTTCAACGCAGCGAGCAACTACTGGTGCATCCCAGTCTTTCTGTCTATGGGTTGTGGGGGGATGAGAATCAGCATTGATCCTTGTTTTCCAAATATCCATAGCCACGATTAAGGAAAGGTCTTCTTTTGAATTATGGGCGGTGGTTATTGGCTTTGTCAAGAGACGATATGAAAATGGTTATTGCTAAGTCAAGTGGAGATCTGATGCCGAGACCACCAAATTTGGTTGGAAGAGTTGCTTGGGCCCAAGCGGTTTCGTTGAATCTGATATTTACTATTTTTTCGGTTAAGTCCTTTATTCCTTTTTCGTTAGTTTGGAGAGGAATAGGATATTTAAAAATTGGTGTTGACCGAAGTGCGTAAAGAATCCTTGGTATAAAAAAGAAATTTTTTAGCAAAAAAACTCGTGTCCTCCTACAGGCGATCCAAGATGTGTTAATTCAACGCTTGATGTGAATTTGAAATCGTGAGTGTTCGGAGCATTAGAATTTAAATGTGAGAATTCAGATTTGCTCTGGTTAAGCGAAAGTCCAATGGCTGTGCCCATTTCTTTAATTATGTTAATTTCACTACAGGGACCACTCAAGATTCTATCATCAATATACCAAGAGTGGAGCGATAGAATACATGATGAGTTTATTGATTTTATCATGTCATTGATTCCGAGACTAAAGAGAAGGGATCCGAGAGGGTCACCCTGTTGGATATACCCTCGACAGAAAGTATCTTTTCTTTGTTGAATTGTAAGATTGTTGGTGATTGGTAGCAAGAGAAAAGAAATTTGGTGTAAGCGGGGAAATGGAAGCAAGTTGAATGTAGGAACGTGTTGCGCGAAAGAGTGTTG